TTTTTAATTTTTTTCGTCGCGCTGTGATGACGTCAAGTACGCGCTTTCGTCGAGCGCGCTTTAGTCCACCGCGGTTTTGTGGTGGAACCAGAAATTTGCCTCTTAAACCTATATTGCACTTATTTATAGGGGGAAAATATCCGGCCAGATGTAATTTCTAATGTTGGATTTTCCCCCTTACCAGAGGGAGACCTCTGTGAAGGCATTACTATGGCAACTCCACTGCACTGCACGGTAGAAGCCATTTTACAGCACAACAGGCTGTATTTTAACAGAACACACACCCCAAGGGGTGTTAGGGGTGTCTTACCCCCTCAGTATTTTTTTTCCAGAGTCATCTGTGTACTAAGTTTCGTTGAAATTACTTGAGGCATTCCAGAATTATGCTGGAACACACACACACACACAAACACGCATGTTTCTATATATTTCTTCATATATATATATATAATTTCTATATGTATTTATATATATATAAAGATAAAAGAAGATATTGGTAGAAAGAATCTGTACATATCTACACTGACCAAAGGCTCAGTTTGTTAGCCAGCTGTTGACTTCATTCTTCAGACAACAGCCTGCCCAGCAAGGATAACACTGCCGGAAGTAATGGATAAATCTCTCAGAAGTTTATCCCCTCAGTTGGATGAAAAACTGCAGCAACTTTAGACAAAATATGGATTTTAAACACTGGACCAGTCATCCCAGTCGCTGAAGACTGCCTGAGCAGGGTGCAATGCTGGCATCATCCGCTCGCGTCCTCCGACGAGGTTAGACTTTGTAACTCCACAAAATGTTGGGGAAAAAAATGTACGATACAGACCAAATCAGGAAGTAGAGAGAGGCCAGGAAGGAGGCATGAAACAGGAGCACCAAAATACCTGCAAGTGGCCAAGAGAGAAAGAGTTAAAAGAAGCCTGTTGAGGAGAGCCAGATCGGATTGGCAACATTTGATATTTTGAAGACTTTCTGTTTTTAGGCCTTCAGACACAACAGTCTTGTGCCTCCAGATCACAGGTGGATTCCCACTGCAGATCACCTGATTTACGGGGACCAAAGTCCCATTAGTTCTGCTCTCTGGAATGTCATTGCACCTTTGCTTTAATCCCTACCCATTAAGGTTTTTCCCCCACGAGGAAACGGGAGTGGTTTGTTCAGCTTTATTTACCATAAAGTCTTGCAATGAAAGAGATCAACTGGGAACTGTGGAGTTTGGTATTCAGAAGATGTGAGACAACATCAGTAAAGAACTCTCTGTCCCCTGAATCCAGGTTGGCTTGGACATTTAAACACGAAGGGCACTTAAAACATTTTTATTTCCCCCCTGCCCAACCCCTTTCAGCTTCTCACCATACAGTCTCTGCTCTTATTTTTTTTAGCCAGCCTTTCCTCTCCAGGATCTACCATGTTTCCCCGAAAATAAGACAGGGTCTTATTTTCTTTTGACCCCTGAAATAAGCACTTGGCCCTATTTTCAGGGAGGTCTTATTATTTTTGAGTTTCAGGAAGCAGCGAGCGTGGTCACCTCATGGCTGCTGCTGTGTTGCAATATTTTTAGGCTTATTTTAAAGGGAAGGCTTATTTTAGCACATGCACTCAAAAGTCCGATTGGGCTTATTATCTGGGGAGGTCTTATTTTCAGGGAAACAGGGTAATGAGACTGCAGTATCCAGATTTTGGAGTAATGAACTGTTCCTCTAGACTAGTGATGGTTAATCTTTTCGGTACCAAGTGCCAAAATTGGAGTGTGTGTGCGTGTGCATGCATGTGCCAGAGCATCAGAACTCAGAAGAGAGCAGCTGGTCGGTGTGCATGTGCGCGGCAGAACCCAAAAGATCAGCTGACAATGGTGCGCGTGCCCACAGAGATGGCTCTGCCTGCCACCTCTGGCACGCGTGCCTTAGGTTTGCCATCATGGCTCTAGACTCTTAGGAAAACAGCTTCTGAAAACCACCTCAAACTTTTAGAGGCTCTTAGATAGGTTCAAACTATGTCTGAATCTTCAAACTGGCTACAAATAAGCCTGTTTTTTTTTAATGAAGCTAGACAAGCTTAGCTTCATGTAACAAAGGAACTCTTTCATGTCCCTGCTTTCCAGACGGAGCAAGCCAGGCTTGGCAGCAGATCTGGTGGCAGACTCAAACGATGAGGAGATTGGGGAGGAACATGGGCCAGTCCTGGAGTCTGGGAATGGCTCTGATGAGGGCTCTGTGTCGGAGGCAGAGAGGGGGCCAGGGCCATCCGACAGTTATCAGCTGCCTTCGGAGTCTGAGATCAGTGGGGCAAAAGAACAGCTGGAGCCTGTTCCTGATGTGCATATGCGCAGAGCTGCCAGGAGAAGGGAACAGTTAAGGAACAAGGGCCGACTCAGGAGTAAAGGCACAGGTGGACGGTGAATGGCCCCTCCCAGAGGGAATAAAGAAGAGCAAAAGCGGAGTGGAGTTTACAGGAGACAATTAGTTCACTTAATTAGTGTGAAGATTTGTTCGTGACTCTCAGAGACTCCTTGCCAAGTATTTTCTTGCATAGTATTGCATTTGGAAGATATCGGCCTGGCAGCTCTACAAGCCTGATAAGGTCTGTGGTTATAAATTCACCCACGAAAGACTGTTTGCCGGGACCTTGCTGGGGTGTGAATGAGAGGAATTCACGTTAGGTTAATAAAAAGGGGTTTTGTCGGGACAAGGAGCCTGCTTCGTGATTTGGTGAAGCCTAGGTCAGAACAGAAGGCCCTGGACGTACCTCCTCCGAAGATGGCCTTCTTCCAAGCCTGGGACTCCAGCACCTTGTCATGGGGATAGAAACCCTGGTCCACCATGAAGAGGACCATCACTATGGCCATCAGGCGCATGGTCACCAGGTGGCCTCCAGTCAGGAAGTAGGTGGCTGCTACCATGGAGGCACCGTAGGGGCATGGCAAACCCCGATACATAAAGGGCATCCCTGCATATAAAGAAGAGAAAAGATACACACGAATTCATTGAGGGGCAGACTGTAGTCCCCTGTCCCCTAGCCACACCAAAAAAAAAAAAAAGGACAGGGTATGTTGTGTCATCACAAAGATCTAAAATATCAACTGGTTACATTGAAAATCACACCAATTTCTTTACAGAATGGCAGCTTCCAGAATTGTTTACAAAACACAGAATCGAGATGCCACTTTTCCCATTGAAAAGCACGCTCTTAAACCTAGGGAGAGCTGGCAATGACCGTGTTTTCCCAAAAATAAGACCCGGTCTTATTTTTATTTTTGCCACTCAAAAAAAGGCACCAGGTCTTATTTTCAAGGGCGGGGTCTAACTCACCTCGTGGCGGCAGCACCAGCAGCCCCGCCCAGCAGGAGCCCGCTGCCAGGCCACTTCTGCAGCCGCTTGCCATCGCTCACGCGCATTGTCCCCAGCCTCCCTTTCTCCATCAGAGGCCCTCCAGAAAGCCCTCTGCTGCCAAGAAACGAGGTCTGGATTGATGTGCGCGGCACCTCCCCAGCCTCCATTTTGCCTTCCGGAAGACCTCTGACAGCGAAAGGGAAGCCGGGGGCGACACGCACGAGCAGTGGCGAGAAGTGGGGCTGCAATCAAGGCAGGTGTTGGAGTGTGCAATGCCTGGAAAGTAGGGCAGGTCCACCACCCCCTATTCTCACCCTACCTTAATTTTTACCCATGCATCTTGCCCCACCCCCTGCACCCTAGAATGGGCCTAAAATTAGGCTTATTTTGGGGGTAGGGCTTATATTAGGCGTGCGTGTGAAAATCAGCCTAGGGCTTACTTTCGGAATAGGTCATATTTTTGGGGAAACGTACTTGTGGCATCAAAAGGTGGGACAACTTTTTAAAAGCTCCTCCACTATTCCTCCCAATGAGATCTTTACCATCCAGACTCACCACTGGTGAAGAAGCATAGCCGTGTAAACACCGCCAGCACATAGACAATCACCAGCAACCCCTCGAGGATCCCATGGCCCTGCAGAAGGAGCCCCGTGGCCAGGCCGAAGGACGTGAAGTCTGCAAAGTCATCCAGTTTAGCCCCTGCAGGCGATATGAAAAAGGGACGTGGTTAGTCTCCGTCAAAGCCACGATCCGCCTACTGTCGCTAGCCGAGGACAGAGGCCTCTGCTTTCATTCATTGGGCGACGCCAAAAATAATGATAATAGTAATAATGATAACCTCAGCGTTCCCTCTGCTTGGGATGACCTCTCTCCCCCTCCACATGTAGTGGAAGCTTCCAGAAACGAGGACTTAAATGGGGGAAAATCAATGCCTCCTCCTTCCCAACCTGGCGCCCTCCAGATGCTGACCAAAGAAAGGTACCCAGGTGGAAAAACTGCCATCTCTTAAGGCTAAGCAGACTCTCTGTTGAGCAGCCAATGATGGCATTTAAGGCAATGAAATGGGATCCTGCCCAGCTCCTGGGTGTTGTGGCGCGCCAGTGGAGCTATCGGCAGACTCGGACAGTGGGAAGGTTGGGGAGGAAAAGTCCTGGAGTCTGGGGAAGGCTCTGATGAGGGCTCTGTGTCAGAGACAGAGAGGGGGCCAGGGCCCGTCTGACAGTTATCAGCTGCCTTCGGAGTCAGAGATCAGTGGGCAGAAGAACAGCTGGATCCTGTTCCCCATGTGCGCATGCGCAGAACTGCCAGGAGAAAGGAACAGCTAAGGAACAAGGGCCGACTTGGGAGTAAAGGCACAGGTGGACGTTGAATGGCCCCTTCCAGAGGGAATAAAGAGGAACGAAAGGGGAGGGGAATTTGCAGGAGGCAATTGGTTCGATTAATTAGCGTGAAGATTTGTTCGTGACTCTCAGAGAATCCTTGCCAAGTATTTTCGTGTACAGCATTTCGTTTGGAAAATACCGGCCTGGCAGCTCTCCAAGCCTGATAAGGTCTGTGGTTGTAAATCCACCCTTGAAAGACTGTTTGCCAGGACTTCGCTGGATGTGAATGAGAGGAATTCACATTAGCTTAATAAAAAGGGGTTTTAGTTGGGACAAGGAGCCTGCCTCGTGATTTTGTGAAGCCTAGATCAGAACACAGGTCTTCTTTGGTTCGAAAGAAAATGGCCCTTGGCTCCCTAGAGAGCAGCCACAAACTTTTCAGAAGGCCTCTCCGGTCCTCCCATGAGTCAGTGACGACCTCTGTCTTGGATTCCCCCATAATGCCTGGTTTCCCCCTTGGCGGAGCTCCTCTCTTCAAGGACCACCTACCGCATAGTTTGGCTTTTTTCTGCACCATCTGGAGGTTGGCCAGATCATTGGTAATCATCCACTAAAGTGAGTTGGAGGGAAAAGGTGGCAGGGACTCACCCAAGGCAGAGCAGGCGTTGAGTTGCCTCGCAACGGCTCCGTCAGCAAGGTCTAGCACGAAGCCAGTGAGGACTAGCCAGCATGCATAGTGGTAGTGCCTGGAGGAGGAGGAGGAAGAAGGAAGAATATAGATGAAAAAGTAGAGGAAGAAGAAGAAGAAGAAAGGCAAGGTTGCTTCCTGTGTCCATGGATGCTCTCCCCGTCTCCCACCTAGTCCTGCCATCCCTCTTGATCTCTGGGCCACTGGATCCAGAAAAGCCTGGGCAGTAGGAATTCTCCCTGTCGTGAATCCAGCTAGATCCCAACCTTCCCTGCGGAGGCAGAAGGACTAGCCTCTCAGCTTGGCATTGCCACCACGGAGGCGACTGAAGCTCAGAGAAAATATGTGAAAATATAAGGCCAGATGGCCATTGTGCCCCACTCTTCCCTCTGCAATGGCACAAGAGTGGTGCTGAGGCCCTGTAAATTGGGGTCATTCCAATCTGCCCAGCGTTGATCCCTCCTTGAATGGAGACCCATGGCGGCCAGGAGGCAGAGCTCCGGGCCAGCCCTCCCACCTACCCGTTTAGGCTGCAGAGGACGGAGGAGAGGCCCATGAGGAGGTTGGCCATGGAGAGCGAGTTGGCCGCATTCTTGCGCAGGAACTCGATGGCTTGCGCACGGCCCACCTGCTCGCTCAAGAAAAGCTTCTTGGTGTAGAGGAAGATTCCTGGAAGAAAACATCAGAAAGGACGGCATGAGAAGCTGAGAGTATCCCCCTACAGGCCAGCTGCGAAGAAATTCCCTCCGTACCATCTCTGCTCTGAGCATGGCCCGGAAGGCAACTCCTTTGTAACCAACGGAGGAAATTCCGGGGTTAGGAGATGGACAAGGCCAGCTGTGTTCAGCCTGCACATCCTGGGCATCTGTTGTGGCCAGCCAGCAGAGCTAGCAGCAGATTCAGACAGGGAGGAGGTTGGGAAGGAACAAGGGCCAGTTCTGGAGTCTGGGGAAGGCTCGGATGAGGGCTCTGTGTTGGAGGCAGAGATGGGGCCAGGACTGTCTGTTAATTATCAGCTGCCTTCCGAGTCAGAGATCAATGAGGCAGAAGAACAGCTGAAGCCTGTTCCCAGTGTGCGCATGTGCACAGTGGACAGAGGAAGGGAACAGCTAAGGAACAAGGGTGGACTTGGGAGTAAGGCTACAGTTGGACGATGAATGGCCCCTCCCAGAGGAAATAAAAGGAGCGAAAGGGAAGTGGAGTTTGCAGGCGACAATTATTTTGCATCATTGGTTCCTGACTCTCCAAGACTCCTGGCCAAGTTTTGCAGATATCAACCTGGCAGCTCTCCAAGCCACAGAAGGTCTGTGACCGAAAAATCCTCCCCCGAAAGACTTTGCTGGAGGTGAATGAGCAGAATTCACAGTCAATTAATAAAAGGGGTTTTTGTTGGGACAAGGAGTTTGCTTCATGCTCTCGGGAAGCCTCGTTCCAAACAGCATCGGAAGTCCACACATACTGCGGAAACATGCAGAGGGAGGTGGGCCCTGCATGCAACAGCCCAGCTCTTCCCCAAGTGCTACATCCTCCCACACCCCCCATTTGTTAGTTCATCCTGTCCATGTGAGTTATTCCCAGGCCAGCCACAAGGCTGCAGCACACGGGAAGCCTTCGCTCCGGTGGGTGAGCGACACGGAAAGCCCGCCTGGCACAAGAGGTGGCTGGCTTTCCGCCAGGAGGGCAGGTGCTGACTCGACCCTGGGACTCGAGGAGGCAACGGGTGACCACTGCCTGCATCACCAGCGGCCTGGATTCTCCGCCTCATTGAAAACCTGCGGGCACTGGGCAGCCAGAGGATTTCATGCAATTCCAAATAACAGATCCGAGATGTGGAGGGCTGGGCCCAAAGGAGAGCAGGTCAAAGGGCCAGGCGGGTGGGGTAGGAAACAGCCCTTCAATTTCATTCAGGGCCTCAGAGCAATCAGACCAATTCTCGAATACACTCATCTGCCTGGAATCCACAGAGTACATCGGATATTAATACAATCGGGCGAGTCCAGAGGTATTTCACGAGAAGAGTCCTCCACTCCTCTGTTCACAATAGAATCCCTTATGCCACCCGGCTCGAAATTTTGGGCTTGGAGAACCTAGAACTATGCTGCCTACGGTCCGACTTAAGCATAGTAGACAAAATTGTCCACTACAAGACCACTTCAGCTTCAAGCGCAATAATACACACAGACAAACGGGGTCAATGAAAGAAGCCAATAAAGTCGAAGTTAAGGAGGATTACCATGTATACAGGCACTCCAGAGAGTTTAAACTTATTAGAGGTAATCACCCAATATATCAGATGGATAAGTAAAACAAGAGGGTTAAAAATGATGAAACTCGAATGAAATATATTAGAAGGGGAAATAACGTAAGGAGCATTGTACCGATTTGAAACTGCTATGAGAAGGAACATGAAGTTCTAATGTACCGTCTCAATGTAGTTTATGTCTTAAGTTTTGCTTTTGTGTATTTTGTGTGTTTTAACGTTTTTTAGAAATTTATTTAAAAAATAAACAAATGGGCAAATAATAGATACAAACTCAAGGTAAACCACTCCAAACTCGACTGCAGAAAATACGACTTGTGGTCAATGCCTGAAATGCTCTACCTGACTCCATGGTTACATCCCCAAACCCCCAAAACTTTAACCTAAGACTGTCTACTGTCGACCTCACCCCATTCCTAAGAGGTCTGTAAAGGGGGCATGCATAAGCACACCAGCGTGCCCTTCTGTCCCTGTCCTACTGTCCTTATTTATTTGTATTCACTTCTTTCGTTCATGTCCATGTTCATATTTATACCTGCTATCTTGTACATGTTTGACAAACGAATAAATACAAATAGAGTCAGGGAGGACAAGCCCCCTCCCCGCGAACAAAGCCAAACAGACCTCAGTTCTTCACATTGCTTGGAACGTATCCGTGTATTCGTTGGCTGGTTATAGTGCCAAAAGGCAACAATAATAATCACTTTAAAAGGAGCAAAGTTCAAATCACGCATCCGTTCCGATTGTTTAAGCTTGCAACAACAATTTGCATCCGAATCCAAATTCCAAGGAAGCTGTGGAGAGCCCAAGCTGGATGCCTCTGACTGGGTGCTTTTTTCTCCTGTTCCTATGCCAGAGTTTCGCCCGGGGGAGGAGAGGGGGAAGCATCCAGCTTTCTAAGCAGGGTTGGAAAATTGCCACAAAGCAATGAACTGTTGTGGCCTAGGCTTCCCCCAAAAGCAGGAGGCAGAGTCCTGGTCCCGACAAAGCCCCTTTTATTAAACGAATGGGAATTCCTCTCCTTCACATTCAGCAAGGGCCTGGCAAACAGTCTTTCAAAGGAGGATGACCACAGACATTATCTATCTTGGAAAGCTGCCATGTAAATATTTTCTGAGGAAAGGAAAGATTTGGCACAGAGTCCCTGATATTCACGGACAGATTTTCTCACTCCTGAAACGAATCTAACGACTGAGCGAACGAATTGTTTCCTGCAAAAGCCCACTCCCTTTTCGCTCTTTTATTTCCTACGGGAGGGGCCAATCACCTTCCACCTGTGACTTTACTCCCGAGTCGACCCCAATTTCTGAGCTGTTCTTTTCTTCTGGCAACTGTGCATGTGCACACTGGGAACAGGCTCCAGCTGTTCTTCTGCCTCACTGATCTCTACCTCTGAAAGCAGCTGATAACTGTCAGATGGCTGTGGCCCCCTCTCTGCCTCTGATGCAGAGCCTTCCCCAGACTCCAGGACTGGCCCATGCTTCTCCCCAACCTCCTCCCTGTCTGACTCTACTGCCAGCTCTGCTGGCCGCTGGCAGGCCACAACACAAACCACCATATTATGCATTCATTTACTACCAGCTTTTGTGCTCAGAGTCTTTAGACGGGCACACTTCAACAAGCTGCGTTCAAGCATCAGCCAGGCAGGGGGACGGATACGGCAGTTAAGTTCTTGCCATCAATACCGTACACCTGTCCCCAGGGAAGATACCCATATCAAGATAGGTGGAAGGTATGGGAGATGGGAAGAAAGCCAGAGAAAAGCCACCAAAGGGTCTTTGGGGGTCCTAGGTTGGGTATTAATTGTAGTTATTTACCTAAGATGGGTATTAATTGTTGTTAATTATTTCTTGAGTCAATTTGCCCATTGGACGGACCTGTTCCACCTCATTTTTTAACCTTCCATTCGTATGTAAGAGTACCTAGTCTTAGTAACCATGACTATCCCGTTCCGAGTGGAGTCCCATGCCTTAGCCCTGCCCGTGAAATCCTCTATCCTTCCTTCCTAGATACACAGTCCTGCGTTTCACGGACATAGATCGTAACTCCTCCCAATTTGCCTTTTAAGAGGCCACTGGTTACGTCTTCAAGATCATCTCAACGGCCCGGAACCATCCCTCCCTACTTGCTTTTTTTAAGAGGCCTTTGGTCGCAACCCTTTATCCTGGCACATTCATCCTCCTGTTCTTATCACTTATGCCAGCTCCATGCAGCCTTTTTTATCTCTACCTGTCACCTGACACCTCGTTGCTCGTTACCCCTCACCGGGGTAGACATCCCAGTCCGGGTGGCGCACGATTCTTGGCCAAGCATATTCTCTATATGGATACATATAGGGAATAATAATACAAATACAAATAATTATAATTGGTTTTAGTGGCAAAGTCATGTCCGACCCATCGCGACCCCAGGCCTTCCTGTCCTCTGCCCTTCTCTGAGGTCCATTTAAGCTCACGCTGACTGCTTCGGTGACTTCATCCAGCCCCTCATTCTCTGCCGTCCCCTTCTTCTTTTGCCTTCAATCTTTCCCAGCATGAGGCTCTTCTCCAGGGAGTCCTTCGTCCTTCTCATCAGGGGGCCAAAGGATTTGAGTTTCCTCTTCAGGATCCAGCCTTCTAAAGTGCAGGCAGGGTTCAGCTCCTCTAGGACCGACCGGTTGGATGGCCTTGCAGTCCAAGAGATTCAATGCAGGAGTCTTCTTCTCCAGCACCAGAGTTCAAAGGCCTCCATTCTTCAGCCTTTCTTG